GGGTGTTGTGGCAGGCACCTGTGGTCCCAGCTACTTGAGAGGCTGAGGCAGGAGACTTGCTTGAGCCCAGGAGTTGGAGGTTGCTGTCAGCTGTGATGCTATGGCATTCTACCCAGGGGGATAGCTTGAGGCTCTGTCTCAAAAAAAGAAAAGAAAAATGAAAAGAAAAAGGGATAAAATAGGAAGGACCCTGTATATCAAACAAAAACACCTGAACATAGTAGTTGAGATAATGAGGGAAACCAGTAGTATTAAAATCAGTTGGAGGGAACAAGAAAAGACAATCAACAGGTATCACAATCAAGCGGAATCTGGGGGTGCCCGTAGCTCAGTGGGTCGGGTGGCGGCCACATGCACCAGGGCTGGTGGGTTGGAAGAGATAGCCAGGCACTGGGGTAGGTACCTGTAGTCCTAGCTACCAGGGAGGCTGAGGCAAGAGAATTGCTTGAGCCCAAGAGTCTGAAGTTGCTGTGAGCTGTGACACTACAGCACTCTACAGAAAGAGACAAAGTGAGACTGAGTCTCTTAAAAAAAAGTATCAGAAGATCCTTTGACAAAAAGTTGAAAAGTGACTGTATGAGGACAAGAGGAAGGGGAAATAAGAAGATACTGAATACAAGTCAAACAGATTTCTCTGAAAGCAACATACATTCACTTCACTTAAAATTTATCTTCACCTAGTTAGATAATTCATAGATAAGAAAATGACTTTCTCTCCTAGTTCAAAATACATACCTTAACTCGCCGGGTAATGCTAAGGAACTGACACGTTTTATCATAAAGCTCTTCCAGGTTTTCTCTGTCCCAGTAGAAATCAGGAGTAATCAAGAAATCTGAACTCAGGTTTATACGGTGCCTTTAAAAACGGAAAATCATAACTTTTTATTATTTCCTATTATTTCTCATTTTCATGGTGTTTTATGAAAACATTTTTTAATACTGGCCATTGCAAATTACTTATCAGAAGCATGTAAGGGAAAGTTTCCAAAAAATTTTCAAAGTTCTCAACCAAATTAATTCAGTCTTTACTACCAACATTATTTATGAAGTAGACAAGGAAAAAACTCTCTCATTTTGTTTTCAATTTCTAACCTTGTTTCATTTTTCATTAAAAGAATTTACGGGCTCGGCACCTGTGGCTCAATCAGCTAAGGCGCCAGCCACATACACCTAAGGTGGCGGGTTTGAATCCCCAGCCCGGGCCCACCAAACAACAATGATGGCTGCAACCAAAAAATGGCCGGCGCTGTGGCTGGTGCCTGTGGTCCCAGCTACTTGGGAGGCTGAGGCAGGAGACTTGTTTAAGCCCAGGAGTTGGAGGTTGCTGTGAGCTGTGAGGCCATGGCACTCTACCCAGGGGGATAGCTTGAGGCTCCGTCTCAAAAAAAAAAAAAAAGGAATTTACGGTATATACACACATGTCTTTTGGGGATAGATAATTACATGGCTTAAAAATAGGTGCCTGTGGCTCAAAGGAGTAGGGTGCCAGCCCCATATGCTGGAGGTGGCAGGTTCAAGCCCAGCCCCGGCCAAAAAAATAAATAAATAATCTGGTCAGGCACCTGTAATCCTAGCACTCTGGGAGGCCAAGGTGGGCAGCTTTCTTGAGTTCAGCCTGAGCAAAAAGAGAGACCCCTGTCTCTATTAAAAATAGAAAAACTGAGGCAAGAGTATCACTTGAGCCCAAGAGTTGGAGGTTGCTGTGAGCTATGACTCCATGGCACGATACCAGGGTGACACCTTGAGACTCTGTCTCAAAAATAAATAAATAAATAAATAATCCTAGCACTTTCGGAGGCTAAGGCAGGAGGATAGGTTAAGGCCAGGAGATTGAGGCTACAGTGAACTATGATTGTGCCACTGGACTAAAGCAACAGAGGAGGACACTGTTTCTAAAAATAAATAAAAGATATAAAGAAATAAAATTAATAAATCTTATTCTTATTTTCATCTTTCCCTTCCAGAGACACTCACACTGTAATATTTTAACTTTTTATATAAGAGGTCTAAGCTTGCTTTTTTTTTTTTTTTTTTTAAAGACAGAGTCTCACTTTGTCTCCCTCAGTAGAGTGCTATAGTGTCACAACTCACAGCAACCTCCAGCTCTTGGGCTTAAGTGATTCTCTTGCCTCAGCCTCCCGAGTAGCTGGGACTACAGGTGCCCACTGCAATGCCTGGCTATTTGTAGTTTGGCTAGGGCCAGGTTTGAACCTGCCACCCTGGATATATGGGGCTGGCACCCTACTCACTGAGCCACAGGAACTGCCCTAAGCTTGTTTTTTTTAAACCTGCTCCCCAGAGAAATACAAAACTCTTTTAAAAATTTAATAAATGGCTCAGCACTCAAGCAGCTAAGGTGCCAGCCATGTACAACAGAGGTGGCAGGTTCGAATCTAGCCCGGGCCTGTCAAACTAAAATGACATCTACAACCAAAAAATAGTCCAATTTTATGGCGGGGGCTTGTAGTCCCAGCTACTTGGGAGACTGAGGCAAGAGAATCGCTTAAGCTGAGGAGTTGCAGGTTGCGGTGAGCTGTGATGCCATGGCACTGTACCCAGGGCAACAAAGTCAGATTCTATCTCAAAAACAAACAAACAAAAAAACCCAAGAATTGTCTCTTTGCTGTAAGCTTGCAAAGAAACTATTTACAAACGTTAAGTATAAGGTCCAGCCTTTTGAGCTTTGATATTATAATTCATTTCTGCTTGCAATACCAAGATAAGAGAGAAGAATCTCTCTACTTCTCAAAGAACTCCAGATTTCAGATCTGCAAGTACAATGCTCCTGAGGAATGAGGTTCTGTTTGTATTGGTACCTGGATGAGGATCCCTGAGCTATGAGAAATGTATAGAGGATGAAATGCTGGACCACCTCTCTCCAGGCGGACGGAGTATCTAAGGAGAATGTACAAAAAACAAGTCCTGGGCAAATATTCTTTTTTTCCCACTTTTTGGCCTGGGCTGGGTTTGAACCGACCACCTCTGGCATATGGGGCTGGCATCCTACTCCTTTGAGCCACAGGTGCGGCCCTAGGCAAACACTCTTGCTGAGCTCTGGTAACTCGTTCCATATGCTAGAAGGAGTTACACGGGACAAAAACACCAACATCCAGGATGTTTGACTGCACAAGTCCTGGGCCAATTATAGTAATAAAATAAACTGAAAACCTTTCCAGACATTTACTTAAAACAATGCATAACTATTGTTCATCAATTTTAGGACACAGTTCTTCTCATTTTAACATCTCTGAAAATGAGAGGTATCTTAAAATTAATGGTATTTTTATAGGGGGAAGTTGAGAGGACTTGGTGGTTATTGCCTTAAATAAGTTATTTCCCTAATTCTTTCCTTTTCATGTATGTCCAAAAGAAAAGGTAATAGAACCTATATCTAAATAAGACTAAAAAGCTACTTCAGCAAGTATAAAATTTAATTCTATGATAGAAGGACTGTCATAGTTTAACTGGCAGTATCTTTCTCTCCTATGGCATCTTGCTGTCTCAGATGCAATGAAATACAGTACGTGACTTTTCTGTAGCAATTAGGTACATTTAGCATTACAATGCATGATGTATTTTTACTGAGAATTCCCATTAACCAAATACCAGAAATTGTCTTTCTACCTCCAAATTGTCTTTCTTTTTTTTTTTTTTTTGAGACAGTGCCTCAAGCTGTCCCCCTGGG